GCAGTACAATTGCTCTCAAGGGCTGAGCTATGCATATGATATTACTATTATTTCTGTGCTATTCAGATATGTTGGGTTGTGCATGCTGGGTTGCGTGAACTGAATAGCAGCAGCTGCGTTACAAATGAGCAACAAGCTACGCTCACTGCTTTCACTGTAACTGCCCTCAAGGGCAGGAGGGCGTATATGGAAATTTGTTTTTTTGCAACTTGCTTCAAGAGCAGGGTTGGGCAGGACTGTCCCTAGAGAGAGTCATCTCTCTGGGGGATGTTTCTGCTGGGTCCTGCTATCTGCAGTTCACACTAGCAGCTGTCATACTGCAATCATTTTATTATGGTATTATGGTAGGTTCCTCTGTGCTGGGCTGCTGGCTGTAATTTTAATTTGGCAAAGAAAATAACAGACATTTTATAACTGAAAAAGCAAAGCAAAGCAATGTCTGCTGGTGGTAACATTGCCACACAGAAGGTTGATCCTGTTGGAAAAATGTTAGGTATGTCCTGCTAAATCAGTAATCTGGGCAGTTCCTTGGTTTCCTTGATTAGAGAGGGTAAGAGTGACTTGCTGGGAAAGAGGAAGGCTGAGCTATCTGAGAAGGGAAAATTACAGCACATCAAGGTGGGACGAGGGTTTGAATTGCTATATACTTTCATGTTAGCTAAGAGAAGTAGTAAATTGGAGCTTTGTGCTGAAGGTGTACAGCTGTCTGTGTAGAACAGGTTGAAAAAAACGCTTGTTCCCATTTTAATTCTCTAATCTTGTTACTTTCTCTTTAACCAACTTAAAGTCATGAAGTGTGTGTAAGTCTAAATCCTCAGTCATTGCTATGCACTTAATAAGGGACAGCAGTTCACATTCTAGATATGCGAATAACGTTTATCCATATTAGCATTTTACAGCTTTTGTTTTCTTTCCCCTACGCTCAATAAAAAATAGCAATTGCCCCCATAATCAGACTGCCATCTTTTCTAGGTGACATTTGCTTCAAGGTTACCCAGAGTTTCTGCCTGTAGTTTTTTCAGCATCACACAATAAGACACTATACCTGTGAGATTTCAGCCACCTGGTTCTGACCTTTGCAGCCCATCAGCTCTCCATCTGGAAGACTTACTTCTCATGCCACTCGTATTGCTTGTGATTCTCTACCAGCTACAATGGCACGAACCTTTCAAGCATGTGGGTTACCAGGACAACTTCTCAGTTGAGGCTCACCTGCATGGGCTTCCTGTCCAAACATCACTGCATCAAGTGCAGCCTAAAAAGCAGAGAGATACAAAATAGTTATCTGATATCCACTAGGACACCAGTAGTTGGACAGCCCAAGAAGTAAGACACTTGCCTGAATCTAGAAGCTGGCCGCTATAAGGGTCAGGAAGGAACTGCTTCCTGTATACTGCAGCTTACATCCATCCCATTTCCTTTCTTGTGAGCAAAACGCTCTTTAAAAAGCCAAACTAAAAACATGGCCATTCTGAATTGCAGCACTACAGACAATTTCTGGTGGTGATGGTCTTTGGAAAGCTTGTTATCTCTCAGAGGATCTGCTGGGAGTCAGAACGGCCACTCAAAGTAAGCAAGCAGGATAGTTCAGAAATGTCATAATAGAACCATGATCTGAGGTCCTGCCTATTTAGCTAGCAGAAGCCTGGGAATTTGGGGTAAAATTAGTGCTATTGATGACTAAGGGGAGACATGAAGAGATTGGCTAAGAGATGGGGGAGTTCGAAAAATTCGTTAATATGCTTTTCCTGAATCCAAGAGTTTCCTTCTCACCACACCTCATGGAACCACAAATAGGTTCACAGAGGTTGAAACCTCCTAGCACACCTGCCTCAGTTCCCATGGAAGGTCTCCAACCATTTTAGGAATGCAAACCAAGGCTCCCAGTGCTCATGTTGGGCTTTAAACTTTAGACTACACTGACTGCGTTGTCTTCAGCTTCAAATATAGACCAGGTCATGGTACTTTGCTTTCATCTGCTTCTGCCAGGGGCTCTAGTTGGACATGAACCTCAAAAAGATGGAATCCATATTTGGAGCAGGTCTGTGTGTTCACACAGAGGTCCTGGTTCGTGGCAGGGGGTCAGAGGCACTGTGGTGATACAAATAAATAAAAATCTCTCCATCTCAAATAGAAGAATGTGAGCAAGTTAGGAATAGGAATTATTCTTTCCATTCCAGTCTATGTTCTCCAAGCATTAGAAGACGCTTGGCAGTGAAGCCAAATGTAGTGAAGCAGTCCTGAATCCTGTCATTTCACCCCATCTACAACCAGCTGCAAATATTCTGGGAAAACGTTGGCCAAAAATATCATTTTCAGTTTCTCGCCGAACCACTTGCAAACCTGTCAGCATATATTACGCACTGACAATCTTCACAGAGAATCAGATTTTTCCAACAAATAAATCAAAGCAACTGGAGCGTATCGTGAAAAGGGCTGAGACAGCACAGCCTGTAAGTGACTAGCAGCTTATTTTGGTAACCGAATCACCAAGTCTGGCAGCAAGTGACAGCAGGGCTGAAGAATCAATTGTTCCTATGCAGAATCTATTTTCTGAGAGATAACAAGGCAATTCACAGAAATTAGTAGTTGCAAAGAATGCATGACATTATATTCAAGTCTGACAAAAATAAGAACTGTTTCATATCTTTTCCAGCTGTAGACCTTGATTCCTGGACTATTAATTTCTGCTGGATTCCCAGCACTGGCACAAGTTTAGCTAACCTGCCGAAGTCAAGCAGCAGAGTAACACCTCTGTCTTAACATAGCAAACATTTTATGAGGGGTTGTTTGGCTGAAGCTTTGAGACATAATCTGCGATAGCATGACTTTGTGTTTTGTAGCAAGTACAGTTCAAGCAAGGATTATGGTGACAGGTTTTTAAAGAGCCAACAATTACAGATAGCTTGCTTGTTCTCTCTCTTTTTTTTTTTTTAAACAGAGCAAACATAACATTAAAGTAGCTGTAACAACAGGTATCTTGCTACCTGTTGGTATCTCCATACTGTACAAAGAACAGACTAACTCTGACGACAATGTCTCAGGAGATTCATAATATCTCTTTGTAGATAGAGAATGAAATTTGAGGCTCATCACATGGTTGCAGATTTCGCTCACTGGTCTACAAGGCAGAAAGGATTTCTGCCTTTCCACATCCCAAGACTCAAGAGTCCACCTCCATAACAAAGTCCTTCTCTCTATGCTTTAAGCACAATACCGGCCTGCTTTCCTGGTGATAGTGAGATTTCTAGATGGCAAGACAGGGCCAGTTCTGAGAATTTGCAGAAAACGACTGAGGTGCAAATATTGAATCTAGTGCTTTCTAACTAAGCTGCAGCAAGCCTTCAAAATAAAGTGAAGTGGCAGCTTGAAAAAATTATAAACTCTACTTTGCCATTTTCATGTGGCCATACTGTGTCTGGGAGATAAAGCTGTCCAAATTGGCAAAGATCAGCAAAGCAACATTGCTTTTTCCTGTGACATTGCCACAAGGATCAGCCCAGCATTAAAAATCCAGGGTTGAAACATGACACATAGGTGGGGAAAGGCAAAATAGTTTGGGTTATACAAATGAGACCTTTTTCCCATAAGGTTTCACCTGCACAGCTGGACACAAATGCACCTGAGAGGCTGGAAGAGACTTAAATGCTCAACCACTTCTTTTCTTTTCTCATTTTCTTGGCTGACTCAGCAATTCGGATCGTTCTAGTATTGCCACTACCGTCATGAGATTAAATAATGCCTCTGAGAAAAGCATTCTGGGATTTGAAATTGCTGGAAATAGTTCTATCTGTTTCCCAAATGACTGATAAATAACATAGGTTCTAATGCACATCTTCAGGCATGTTCCTAATGAACCAGATCTCACAATTTTTGAAAACTCTATATAGATTGCATATTGATTGCAACACAGCATCCATGGGGCTGAATTCCTCAGCCATAATGCAGGCCTCCATAGCCCTTTTTGTTTGTGTGGGCTGTTAACAAAAAATACAACAAAAAGGAATTCTCTCCAGGGAGACTACCTAGAATTTAGGAACACCTCCATCGCTCCATGGAGAGTGTTTATACTAAATGCCACCATGAGTGTAATTGCTTGGCATTCTGGTTTTGAGAGGGAGTCATTATTTTTGTCCTCTTTTCTACAACCAAGCCCTACCTGGCATTCCAACCTAAACTTCATTTTCCGTAGCTGTGTCACTACCTGGATGGTGACGTTCAAGCTGCAAGATGTGGCCTCGGTCAGCGTGCTCTGGCTTCCTTTTGAAAGATTAGCGGCTGCTAGTCCTTTCTGCTGGGGGGGAAAAAAACCTTAGTGACAGGTCTGGTCACAGATACGCCCATAGGACTTCACTCTCTTATGTTTACGTTGTTTGTTTCCTGGAAGTTCAGAGGAATCTGTCTGTCTAACACTATACATATACTGTGCTTATCCTTTGCATCATGTATAGTGTCCCATCGCTACATAGCTGTTGGAAGGTCCTTTGTGAGTTGTAACTCATTTTGTCTCATTTTACCTTATTGGTAACATACTTTTATACTTGTTCCAGTCATGAGTCCTTGTTTCCAATTTTTGACCTCTTCTTTCTTGATCTTCTCGTCATTTAAGAGCTACTAATGCAGGCATATTGGTCTCTGCTGTACTCCTTCCTTGCCTTTGCACTGGGATGGTTTCCTTCAGTGCCTTTAATACAGTTTATCTCAGAAACTGACGGATCTCCTGCACTCCTTTATTCCCAAGACAGTCTTCTGAAAGGCATCCAAATGCATCTAACTTGCTTAACAAATTGAAGCTGATGTATTTCTGAAAAGAAGATACTGACCGAATTTTCTTTGCTACCAGAATAGGAGACTCAATGAACGATGAAGATCTTTCTAACCCTTTCCTGGAAGCCCTGCTCCTCAGCAGACTGAGGAAGAATCAGTTCTGTATGTAGATATTTGAAACACTACAACAAACATCAGAAACCGAAAAAGATTTATTAGAAATATTACACAGTTTTTAGCATCATACATTTTAATAATGTTAATCTTTAAATATTAGCATGTCCAAATCTGGCAATGCCTAGTATATACATTCTAATGTGCTCTTTGTATAAATTAATTACGATGTAACATCTGTATCCAATAGAGAAAGCTAAAAGTACTTGACTGTTAGAGAGGATTACCCCATTTGACAAATTCAAAGCTGAACCAATAATCAATAAAAACACTGTGTCCAGCACTGCCCAGTGGAACTTGGCACATGTGCAAGTTAAAAATGTAGAGACCATCAGTTATGAAAAATGTCAGTTGTGGTTAAGTTACAAGCTCAAGCTTGATCCTACTCAATAGTGTTGGCTGAGTCTAAATGGCACTGGAGTTGGTAAAAACCAATATAGTCTAGCAAAGTAGAAGTTATTGCTGGGTTTAAAAATATCTTAACGCTCAGTGCCCTGAGTCTTCTTAGGCTAAAGCCCTCTTCTGACAGGAAAAGGCATAATCATCTCATCCATACAGACTCTGCATTTTATCAGATATGCAAGGCACAGCTTTGCAAACAGCTGGCCCCGTCAGATACTTCTGGATGGAAGTCCTGGTACCATAAGCTGAGAAAGACAAGGGAGGTACACACTATCATTAGATGAACAAACACTCTCATATTTTCATTGTCAAGGAAGTGGGAAAGGAAAGCCAATGAAGCCAAAAGCTAGATTTTGAAGAGTTCCAGGTCAGAAATCAAACAGAGAAGAACCAAGCATTTTGCCAGTGTGTACCTGTTTGGTTTGGAGAGAAACCTTGCACATACCAGTCGCACACATAAAACAACAAAAAGCATAGAGAAAACCTGAAAAAAAGCAATTTCGAATTACGAAGAGAAAACTTAAAACTCAAAGAGGAAAATTTGTCTCCTTGTGAGGAAACTGGAGAGTCTGGATAAGTCCAAACATCAGCCTGCTAAACAAGACACAAGATTGATTTGTTCTGCTTAGTACTGCTGCCTTGCTGCAGTACAGGAAAAGCAGTGAACTATTTGGCCCCCTTTGCATTTCCTTGAATAGCACAGGCACAGGAATGGGAACCTGGCAAAGATATTGAGCTCTGCATTCTCTTTACTCCTCACCTTCTGAGAACCACCCCAGGCTGCACTCTTAGGAGAAATGTCACTCAAGATGGTGATGTCAGTAAGGACTGTCAAGCAGAAGGCCTAAAGTCATCTGCATTCCTTTCTGGTTCACAAAGACCCAGGTACACATGCCCCTCTTCATACGCTGGACTTGCACTCCATTCAGTTTCCTTGCATGCTGTCAGAGACAGCTCACCAGCCTTACTAGAAAACCTTCTTAGAGGGCTCAGGCCCCGGGCTCACTTCTCAACTCCTCTGTACTTTCCCAAGCTATGAAACAATTTGTACCTTCTATGACTCACTAGCAATTTTGGGAGTTAGATCATATACTTTTCAAAATTTTAATCTCCCTTCCTCCCCAACAGCTATTGTACAACAGTCACACAATGCGGTATCCCACCTCGGAACGTCACTGAAATTTCCATCCTTCCCATTCTTCTCACGTGCTCAACCAAAATCAGTCTTTTAATTCCTTGCAATCCGACAAACTACCCAAGTGCATACATACAAGTGTGTGCGTGTATGTGTAAGCGTTACGGTGTGTTTAGGGAGCACATGGTGACATGGCACAGAGATTTCATCTGCTTGCATCTGTGAAAGATTCATTACTCTTAAGAGGCAAAGTCAGAAAGGATTTAGGCAGTTCAGGCAAACTGTTGTTGATACAGTCCATTATCCCACATCGTAACTTCACATATTCTATTCTAGGACATTTTCAGAGGATTCTCAAAACTTCTACAAAGGCTATCCCTATACCCTGTACCTTACCTTAATTAACAAACACACTAATTTTAAAGGCAGATAGACCTTCGGTTTTGCAGTTCAACTTGAGATTTCTTACACAGTCATGAAGACACTTGGTATTTTCTGAAAATCAGGCTGGTCTTCACCATCCTGTATGGCACATTCAAATTCTTAGGCAGCATCCAAAAACAAGAGTCATTTCTGAAAATCTAGGTCTAGATTCCAAGGTCTAGGTCTGTGCAAGGTTCCAAAGGAAGAAAAAATATGCAATATTAGAACAGTTAACTAACAAACAAACAAAATTCTTCATCTCAAACCAAGTCAAAATTACCGGGAAAAGCATTTCTTAATCACAAAGTATCAGCATTTCAAAGTGAGATGTTTTACAGCTTTTCAAGACTAAAAGGTAACATTGGGCAAAAGGTGAAACTCAGCATGTTCTCCTCTACTGACAGACAGCTCCTTGTTCTAACTCCCAGATGAGTTTAAAGGATAAATTATTAGAATATTGTTCCTGATCCAGGCCTAAACCTTGCCTTCTCCTAGTGCTTGGTCTATGCTATTGGGGCCTGGGTAAATAAGCTGAGAAGAGATGACAGAAACACTTATTTGGAAAATTGATTTGAAGAAAAAATAGCCACAAGATGAAGTGGTGGAATGGTTTGCTTATAAGGCTAGAATAAGTCTTGAAGAAATAGATTAGAATAAATGTCAGAACAGAGCTTGAAGCAAATGATACTGACACATTAGGTAACACATGTATTTAGCATATATCTGCACAGTCACATGGAGCACATACACTTCCAGTGACCAGGGGGTTAAGAGTATCTTTCTTTTTCAGATCATGTGGAGCCCTCTGACTTTGAAATGTTTTCCAGACTCTGGGAATGAAAACAGTTTTTCTCATCCCTTCAAGTGCCTGATCCAAAGCCTACTGAGGAATATGGAATTTTCTGTGTTGACTTCACTAGACTTTGAACTACAGCCCATTGGAGAGATTGGAGAGACTTGGGATCTCTGCCAACAGATACCTCAAGGGAAAAGAGCCTGCTGCGTTCGCAAGGCAATGGAGCTCTGCAGTGACTCCCTTCCTAAATGAACTCTGCTCAGCAGCTATTTTTCTCTTTCATCTTATCACATAACTGGAGACTTATATCTGAGAACACTTAAAGCAACTCATCCTATGTTCTCTAGGGATGTTGAAGTGTATGCTGAAAAATACTGGAGTGTTAATTTAATCTAGAAAGCACTCTCTTGCAAGGAAAGATCTCTGGCCAGCATTTACAACTACTTTCCCACAGTATAGGATGACACTAAAGAGTGCGAGGGCACTGTTAAGTGCATGCCACTGTCTCTTTTTATCACAAGAACTCTCCAAAGATTGGAATCAGACTTTCCCGGGCATGATGGATTAGAACAAATGGCAGACTAGAACTCAGAGCAAATGAGGCTTTTCTCCTTTTGTGAAACAGGCATGCACTGCATTCCTCTCGCTCCCTTTCTGTTCAGTATACTCACTGACCTTGGCCACTGTCATCTATCCCCTAACCCTGTATTTTGTTGTGAAAATGCCAAAGCCTGAAATAGGCTGGTTACTAATTAAATCGTATCAAGAAACCAAAGCACTTTGGGAAAGCCAGAGGCTAAGATCAGCCACTTGCAAAGCCTCTGAAAACCTGAAACACCAAGTTTCTTCTATGAAAGCACCTGTTTCTATTTCATTAGCCTCTTTTCAGGAATTAAGAGCCGTGAACACATACTATTATCTTTTGTAAGAGAGAAATGATCCCTAGCTGTCTATGATTAACATGCACAAAGCATCAGGTCTGGGTCACAGGGTTAAACATACTAACTAAACAACTTCTTTCTTCCATCAGCATAATCTAAAGCAGCTAGGCAGCCTTCTGTGAGATGCTATACAAAGAACGCTCTCTGAGACCTGATTCTAGAACAAGTTAAACAGGCTGTTTGATCCTGCTACCACTGGAGACAAAGAGAAAATTTAACTTCACAGGGTGAAATAAGAGAGATGGTGTAACTGTAAATTAAACAGTACCTTTCAGATGTTTTACTAACAGCATTGGTGAGCTGAAAATCTATTCTGTGGCATCTTAAAGATTTCCATGACACAGAGAGGTGTTCCAGTTACATTCTTTGTTAAGTTGTGGAGTGAAGTTGCATCTTCCATCGATATTAATGTATTACTGTGTTCTTTTACAGGATATTATCACTTCTAAACATAGAAGGGCACAAGCTGTCTCAAGATTCACGCATCTACACAGCAGCTACGTAACTCTGCTGATTATTCAGGATCAACACAGAAGAAAGAGTTACTCCACTTAATCCACAAAAATATGAAGCACTGAGATGTCACTGTATTGCTTAAAGAGTCACCACCTGATTACTGGCACTGTGTAAAATAAAGCTAGTAAGTTGCATTTGCATGATAACTGTGCCTGCACAGTCAGCTGGGAAACAGGGCTCTGGCTTCCTGTAGTAATGAAGCCGTAGTAATAAAGCTATTTTTCTCAAAGAGATTACTTCCGTTTGATCTGAAATGGAGTCCCAGCACCTAGCAGTATCTTTAAAGTTCTGTTACTAACTAGTGATGGAACAGAGCATGATTTCCAAGTGACAAATGATCCCGTTACTATTCTGCTAGATAAGCTATGACAAGCAAATTAGTATGCTTCTTGGGTCAGATGTGTCAGAACAACTCAGTTTAAGGTCTATACACTTATGTGCATCTTACAAAATGCATGAAGGCAAGAAAGCAATGTACATTTGAGATGAGTTAAGCATGTTTTGGCAAGAAGAGCATTTTTGTGGGCTTTTGTATTAGTATTAATCTCCCAGCCTCCCTTGAGTGCCAGCATTAGTCCACATTGATTTAATACTTCATTTTGTGGCCGGTCTCCTATTGGCAGAGTCTGGTTTGAGGCAAACGTATTTTAGCACAAGGGATCCTCTTCAGAAATATCCCAGACCAGGTAGAAAATGCTTTGCAATTTCTATGTAGGAATAAAATTACAGATGAATTTGGTCTGTATAGGTGGACAATGGATACTTATTTGGTTGTAGTCCCAGATGTAACCAAAATTATGGAAGAGCTTTCTTTCAGACTAAGAACTTAGGTTGGCTGTAGAAGAGGAGCAAGGGGATTTTTAAAGTGATTGAGTGCATCTGTGGCATTCTTCAGTCTCTCCCCACTTCTGTCCACCTCTTGCTCTGCATCTCAGGTCTCAAAGTACTTGTAAATCTGGGCGACGTACTGCATCACACTCTGCCAGTCTGGCCGGTCTGTGTACATCATCTCACTGAGTTCCTGCACAGGACACATTGCCAAGACTTAGTCAAGCACCACCACTGTGAACCTCACTGGGTCCTCTGAGTAGTTGTGGCTATTGAACACTACTTCTGCTTCAGTTTCAGAGCTCGTTAAAGCCAAATACAACATCAAAATCCATGAGAATGATCTACTGGTCTGTGCAATTGTGAGAGTCATACCAAAGAACAAGCTAGTTAAACAGCCACATGCATTTTACATCCTGTAAAGATCTCCTCCACCTGCAATCAAGTATTAATTCTCTATACCTTCATTTTATTTAAATTGATGCTTCTTTGTATGTCTTTCATTCTGTACTTAGTTCATGAATCCCTAAATACTTCTTCCCTTCATATTAATCTTATCTTTTCCTTGCTATCATATTGTAGGTTTTACCAAAGACTTTTTAAACAGATAGTTTAACAAGAAAATTATCCTACTGTTTTTAAAAAATCTAAAATAAAAGGAAAGAAAGTGGTCTGACAGTCAGATAGATATAGGGCTCTGCCCATAAAAATAGGAATCATCTTCTAGAATAGCCTTCCAATATGAGCACATAATCCATACTCTCATTTCAGGATCAGATGGCCTCCAGAGGTTCCTTGAAACTATATCATTCTATGATTCTACAGATGTTTCCTGCTGGGACGTTCTCCTAACACTGTGAACTTTCAGAGATGATGGTGCAGCTTTCCCTAACACTATGTCAACATTTTCATTGCAACCTTACTGACTGGCTGCACGGCAACAAAGGATTTGGACAGTGTATGCAGCAATTCTTCCCTTGCTAACAGTAGGTTACTCACCAGACTGGGTTTGATGCCTACACTTTCAGCAGCTTGAAATGCTAACAGCAGATTTCTTTTCTGTAAAAATAAGACAAGATTCAAAAGCATTATCACCAAAGAATTATAACTGTTTCTGAATCCTACCTTGTGTCTGGATTAATCAGTAAGTCTAAATGAGCAGGTATATTTGAAAACTGAAAAACATCAGTTTTAATATCTTCACACAGAGAAGAAGGCTAGACCCAAGTCCCAGTCAAGAGCAGCTAGGAATACCAAGAGCAATGAATCGCCTGTCCAACCAGAACTCATGGCTTTAGGTATGTATTGTCAAAGTTTGCAAAGTCTTTTCAGAGTGGTTTCCTTAAAAAGCTACAAAACCCCCAAAAATTTTTGTATGATTGTCTTATGGCATTTCCTTTTTTTTTGTATTAGTAAGGTATACTCACAAACAAGTTCTTTGTGTTTGAATAGCTCATCTACTTTTGCCTAACCTACAGTCCTCTGCTTTTGACAAACTGGTTTTTGTGAAACTGACTACAATTGGGCAAAAAGAAACACTGAGGTTCTGTCTTTACTGTGTGCAAAAGGGTTGAAGAGGTATACATGTATAAGGCATTCGTGTAGATAATGTAACTGTTACTGTAATGAATACTAGTAGGCTGAAGTAAATCCAGGCTTCTCCTCTTTGTGAGGGTCTTAATAACATTTTTGGAATATGCTGACATGGTTTGGCTTTTGATACACTGTTGACCAAATAGTTCAATGAATTATTGGTCTGCCTAGATTCAGCACTTTAATGTGTGCTGCCTAACTCAAAAGGAGTCTAGAAATGCAGGGCAGATCTGCAAATCATCTTGACATTAAACTTTTATTACCCATTGATTGTCATACATTAAAACTGAAACCCCACTGAAAAACCTTGACTATCGGTACACACAGCAAGCCAAATTCTCCAATATTTTTCTGCCTCAGAACTTGTCAAAAAGGGAAAGAAATCACCCCCAGAAAGCCATGTTCTTAGGACATTAGGAGCAGCAGGAAACGTCTCTTGTAACCTTTCAAGAGGGATGCGGTCTTCATGTTTATATGCAGCACTCACTGGGCTCAGGCAACTTGTCACTAAGTCTTTTATCCAGGAGTTCCTGCCTTTTCTCTTTAGGAGTTCACTGTTGGTTTCCCTCCGCTTTTCATTCAGTCAGCTTGTTTTCTAAGTTCTTAAATTACATTTCTCTCCTACTGCTGCTCCTATCCATTTATTCTGTATGAATCAATACTAAAATCTTGCAACACATATGCAAAACCATCAAAATGGATCATGTTCCCTGTGAATTCTGCAAATTGCTTTGGAGCAGGTATAACAAAACTTACTTTATCCTGGCTGTTGAGCTCCTGGTAAGGAATGTGTGCAGGCAAATACGTGTGCAGGAGAGCACAAAAGGCCAGCCCATCACTCCAGCTGCTGCTGAAGTTGGTGATATCAATATTCTGTAAGAAGAAATAGGAACCATTCCTGAATAGTGCTACACTAGGCAAAAATCTCCAAACAGTAGTTCTTATGCAGTCATGGAGGGAAAACTCAGAGCATTAAAGGAATATTCATTTACATTTTACGTTTTGCCCTTCTTTTTCACAGCAAGTTGAAAGATATCAAGTAGAATGGCAGGTTTCAAAGATCCAGACAATGGATTACTAAGGAGTTAAACATTTTCACACCAGAACCCATGCAGAGAGACACTCTCCCATGCTTTCTACAAGATGAGAAACACCATGTGCAGCACATACTGCACCTGGAGTTTCCCTAAGCTGGCAGAAGGAAGGACTTTATCTGATCTTGCTTAACTACAGAATGGCAGAAATATGATTTCTCCAGCACCTAGAACAGAAGACACTGATATTTTAAAATGTTGTTTTGTAATCAGTTTCACTCTGCCTTATATTCAGGATGTCTAACAGTGGGGATGGATTTGTAGGCCAATGAAGCTGTGTAATCAGTGTCTTTGACCACTCTTACCTTTCTGATATTACACAGCAGATACCTATTTTAATGAGAATGCATAACTTGATTCAATTATAACTTGATTCAGCACCTTATCAAAAGTGATATCAAACTGACGAAATACTAACCTAGTCCTTAAGCCCTAAATAAAGAATGTGCTTATCTGCATATAAGAGGGAGGCTCAAACTTGGCAACACCAATGGCTGAATGGGCAGCTTTCCAAGTGCTTGGGCAGATGTGCCTAATTTGCAGAGTCATTTGCCTGAAAGCATGTCTGCATTCTCATACTCTTTACCGATGTGGCATCCTTCATCTGCACATCAAAGAGCACTTTACAAAAGGCAGATAAAGAACAGGAAGTCTGAGATACAGAATTTGATCACCTACCCTCATTCACAAAATGAACTAGAAGTAGTTGAAAAGAGAACAGAGATTTCTTGATGCTTACTCTCCTATGAGTCCTCACTGACAAATAAAGGTGACAATGTCTCTGGTAACAAGTTCAAGAAAAGATCCTTACGGAACAGAAACAAATAGGAACCTCTAAGCCTTGCCTACCCACATTTCCTAACATGACAGCAGTGCTGGGTTTGCTGGAGGAAGCAATGTTTCAGTGGGCATGGATATATTAAAGAACACCCCACTGAAACCCTGAAGCCGAGCTAGAAAAATCTCTGACTTATCTGTAGTAATACTTTCACCACTGTCACCTTCAACAGAACTGCAATAAAGACAGCGAAAAGGAGACATTTCCAGAGAAATGGTCTAACATAGCTGCATTTTTAAAAGGTCAAAAAATGTCTTCCTTCCCCTCTTGTTACACTATGGTGGGATTCTTCTTTGCTAGTCACATAACCTAATACAAGGGCACACCTGGGCACACAGCGGAAACCCAGCTTTCCTACTCATGACAACTGAAGGATTTGTTAATTAGGTATTGACTAGACTAAAGTCCAGAGCACGAAAGGGCCAACAGGTGGATTATAGTGATTGCAGAATCAAAAACTGATGTTTTTAAATCAGCCCATCTAAAAAACCTTCCTTTAAAATACAAAGATTACTGTGCAGTAAGGATTCTTTACGGGGATTCTCTTTTGAGGCATAGTTGTAGTTAAACATACACTTGTGGCTCAGTTCTGATTCTGTGAACAAGGTGACCTTTCTGAGTTTCTTGTTTGCACTGACGTAGTCATATCAGCGCACTAAGGAATTCTCATGGCTAAGTTCTGCTGCTGTAGTTCCAAATACCAGCTAAAAACAAAACAGTAAACTTAAGTGATGCTGGTTAGAAAAGTGAAAGCTCTAAACGATCACTGCAGAGCATGGAAGGCTCCAGGATATTATGGTACTGCCTCATCTCTCACACTGTGGAAGGCATGGAACTACCTTCAAATCATTCCTGCCAAGCACACCTTCCAATGAGGTGAACTTCAACTCAGACTCTCTGCCACTTTTCTTTCTTTTTAAATCTTTTTTTCAGTTTTCTTCAAGATCCCCCAAAATACAAAGCTTTTACTGCATCTTTTATACAAAAGCTAATGCAGGCACACTAAAACCCAGACAGCAAATACTTTAGCATATGCTCTTCACTTATGATGCCTCAATTATTAGTTATCGAACCTGGATTTGTCCAGTCAGACAAGATTTCCGATTAGTAATAAACGTCTTTAACAAAATATGACTCAGATTAAAGGAGTACAGAATTTTTCAGGTTAAAATACCTCTGGCTGAAATAAATCTACAAATCTAATGGGTTCACAATGTAGGCTATCAGGAGTAGTCATTACTGCACTGCATCAGACACCACATTGTATTATGGGCTATTAACATCAGTCAATTGAGAAAAAAGAAAAGAGACCTAGTGGTTGAATACCATCACAAAGAAAAAAGTACTTTGTTCTGAAAACTGTCTTGGTTTTTCCTAAGCCACAACGCTGCACCGAGAAGTACAACTTAATATTATGGAATTGGCTGAAGCTGGATTACTCAGCTTTCTGGAAGTCTGAGACAAACAAGATACATACTATTTATCAATCCACAGGCAAAGGATTAACTGCCAAATTACTGAAGTGTTTTTTACTGAGACCAATACATTTTCTTAGCAAATAGCCTACCATCAAATGCCAATATTTTCATTTTATCCTTGCATGGTAGGAATAGAGAATGAATGGAGACTTCCCCCCCCTCTGCCAAAGGTCATGGAAGCAGGAACAAGCAAAGCCTGAGTTAAGCTTTAGGACTAGACAAAAAGACAAGTCATGTTTGTGTGGGAACTTTATATCTCATTCTCATTTTCATGATGCTATTATGAGAAAGAGGTATGAAACACAAAACTGCTGATTCCTGTAGTATTTCATCAGTCCAGCATGAGTTTGATCAATTTTACTCAGTTTTATATATTTATTATACCTAAGACTCTTTCTTCTCCTCCTTCCATCTAACAATACCTAGAGGTGTGAAGTGCTGAAGTCTATAATAAAATCAGAACTATGGTCCAAAAATCCTCATGTCTCCAGATGGATCCTCCAGCCAGTCATCTTTAGTAATTCTTGGATTCATATCTCACCAACAAGCAAGAGTTCAAGGACGGGGTTCTGACAATGTTTAAACCACATATGAAAACTAATGCAAAGCAGTATACCATTATCAACAGAGAAAACAAATGCAGTATACCATTATCAACAGAGAAAACAAACACAAGCCTACATTTTTGTCCTAAATGCAAATCAGAAATGAATGTTTGAAGCTTCAGCACAACTGTTCTGTTAATAATACAACAAACATTTAGACATACCTAAAACCACTCAGCTGCCATCTTCATACCCAATGAATATGAGAGAGCTGTGTTTTTTTCCTCTAAACAAATCCATTTCCATTTCATACATGGTATAAATTCCTCTGTGGCGTTTCATCTTAGATTCTTTGATTTTGGAATGTAAGGACATAGTCAATGGAAAGTGATCTCCTGTGTTTTGCTACACAGCAACTTTATTTGCAATACCTCTCCAATACCCCACACCAAAAGGAATTAACTCAAAACAGAGGCACTCTGATTTCTTGGAGATCACTGGCTCAACTGAAGCCAGAAAAAAGAAAAAGAAAAAGAAAAAGAAAAAGAAAAAGAAAAAGAAAAAGAAAAAGAAAAAGAAAAAGAAAAAGAAAAAGAAAAAGAAAAAGAAAAAGAAAAAGAAAAAGAAAAAGAAAAAGAAAAAGAAAAAGAAAAAGAATTTAGGGAACAAACACCTTGGAAACTATTCACTTCTCTTGATTATTTTGGCAGTGGAGCCTGTCCTAGTCTTTCTGCCACACCTCCCTATTCTCGGACACACAGTCCATGAATATGCGGGAGCTATTTGTGTACATTGTACATGGAGGTTGTTAATGTACACCTCCAAACTGCTGGATGGAGAGTTTGGTGATTTCCTAGCATGCTTATAGCGCAATCCCCCCACCATCCAAGCTCTGAACAACAGCATGAAGCTTTGCATGAGAGACCTAGGAGTTAAGCAATATAGGATGGCACACTTCGGGAGCAAGATACACCACCAGAGTGTATGCAGAATGAATGTAGGAATAAATAGGAAAATAGAATAGGGACTGCAGATCAAAGCGAGTCATAATGCTGGCTTGGCAGAGTAGAAAATTTGCAATCTTATGGTTGCAATGTGTCCAGTAGTCACTAGTATCCCAAAATCTAGCCTTAGTTTGTTGCAGTGGTTCTACACTGCTAAAGGCATCTGCCTCAGGATCAACCCCTGGACCATGGGCCAAGGCATCCCGAGTAGGTCATGGTTCAGGGTTACTAGAGCTTTCTTTGGGGCAGACATATCACATCCATATTACACAGCACTTGACCTCGGCCTTCTGTGGTACTGCTAAGACAATTGTTTTGTGCGTGGTTTTATTTTTCAGTTGAAAATCTTGAAAGAACACGAAAGTCATGCTGCAAGCCAAAAGAAGGGTGTTTTTACAACATGATGATGTGAGCATCTTTATATGCCCTGTGGACTGGTAAAATGGAGCACGGAAAGATTTGAGGGTACAAGGCCTGCTGGGATAGTGGCAGAGGATGGTGTAGGGCAAAGGGAACCAAACTTGGCATGAGGGTGCTCATACTACGTACAGGGATGATTCCCATACCAAACTATTTGCAGAGCAATGCCCTGGTTTCTTGTCAAGGAAACTCGTTCCTTCATTTCAAAAGGGAGCTAATGAGTGAACTGCTACTACACTGCACTGGGTATGATCAGAGACTGGAATCTGGGAGAAAAAACAGGGAGCCAAGTTATCTGAAAATACAGAAGTACTCACTATGTTTCACTTCTGTGAATATTAAAATACTTAACACTAACCAAAGTAAAAAAAAAAATACAGGCAATGTTATTTAGAGAGCAAATGTATTATCTGTGATATTAGTGGCAGGTCAAGTCTAAATGACACTGAACACCTGCAAGTCATTAACCTTAGCCTCCACCCCAGGAACAAGAC